TGAGGTCAAGGTTTCCACAGAAAGAACAGGAGAAATGGACAGAGAACTTGGTAAAATACCACAAAACCATGAGCCATGTCTTGAAGACAAACTTCAAAAGAACCTCAAGGTAAAAAAAAAAGGTATTATAGATCTTTTAAAAGTGAATATGGATTATATTCTTATTAAAAATAACCTGCTCTCCATATAAGAACAAATAAGATGCAGAAAACGTGGAAAAACAAAATCTCACAAAAGTAAGTTCTCAGATTTTAAACACCTCTATAAAGGAGGGTTGACAATAAAGTTTAATGCCAGATCCACAGGAAAACATTTTTTTTTATATGAGATACAATAAAGAAAAGACAAAAGGATGGAAAGATGTAAGCACCAGAGGTGTTTATGTACCATGAAGTTGGCTGAAGCACAAAATGACATGCAGGTACTCAGCACTGGATTCCTCAAACGCAGCTCATAAAGAGGGGTCAGAAGGCAGAAAAACATGTTCAGAGTAAGGGAAATTGAAAGTATTGTGGATTTTTCTAATGTCCCTATCAATAAAGTAGGAAATGTTCAAATGAAGAAACAGAAGAAGATTGGACAAAATTTGGTGCAGGTAAATTAGAAGAATAAAGCTAATTTTCTTGCAGTGTGCACAGGAATCTGGTAGTATTATAAAGATGAGTGAATAAATAATAATTTGGCTGTTAAAGCCTGTACATCCTTCAGAAAACAACAGGGAGCCAACACATTTCTCTTCCCCCCTCTTGCTGAGAACTGGGGAGCTCCTGCCAAAGCATGCGCTTAAATGGCGATTAAGGTAATGAAGCCATGTGTGTGGGAACTGCGTAGCCATGGTGGAAATGCAGCGCTCACTGCACCCTCTGCCTCGTGCTCAGCGACTCCCCAGAATTCCGAACACTGCCGTGACAGCACGGGCTCACCTCTTCAAGTGCTTACTGTCAGCTGCCATCTTGGCATACTGACAACATTATCGCCTAAGGAATAAGTGAAAAAACAGATTATTTTGTGGGATACAATCATTCTTTTCCATCTTATCTCAAGGGGTTGCTATAAGCAACAGTTGCAAAGGACTTATTTAAAAAATGAAGCCTTAAAAAACTTATTGTATGACAACAATACTGGAATGTCACAATCTTCCTGCAAGTTAAATTTAGTTAAAAGCAGAGAGGACTGAAGTCTTTCATACAGCAGCTTTAAAACGTGACATACAACCTGATTCAGTGTTAGAAATGTCTATGGATGTGATAATAGGATTACCTTTACCAACTTCTTGTTCCTGACAAAATCATAACAGCTAAAAACCAAAAGGCCTAGGACTCTGCAGGGCTAGTTCAAATTAAAACATGGTGCAACATGTACTGGCAGTTAAAAAATGTGAGTCATTATTAGGTTGCAAAAGGCAAATGAAAGAAAACTAAAATTCTATTAATAAAAATATGATGATCCACTGTCATCTGTTTTATTCAGCTCTGGTCACTGAAGATTAAAAAAAAAAAGTTACAAAACAAGTAGTTCAGAGAAATAAGAGGAGATTAATCATGTCATAGAAGGTTTTGGCATTCAAAAAGACTGAATGGAGTTGGAACATTAGTTCAGAGAAGAGAAGAATGAAGATGGCATGCAAAATAGAAGGTGACAGGGAATATTATGTATGTGACTGCATTTTTCTTCCCTCTACAAAGACAAAGGAACATTAATGAAACTTTAAAAAACTGTATTTTAAACTGGAAAGTTTGAGCACAACTCCCTCCCCCAAAATTTATTATCTTAACATGAAGATGTAAACATAGTAGAGTTTGGAGCAGATTGGATATTTAAAAGGAAACCCCTTTTTTCCCTGAAAGCTTTCCAAATTTTCAAGTTTCAGAGTAACCCCAACACATATTGGGAGCAAAGAAAATATTTGTGCTACTGGTATTTAATTTCTGAAGTTGTACACTTCTGTTTCTAAAATACTCTTTAGGGACACCTAAAGAGTGGGCCACTGGCCAGAGTGGAGTGCTGGTTTGATCCAGTCTCAGACTTCCTCCACCTCTTTATTGGTAGAACCTTTTTCACTCCAAAACCACTCATTTTCCAGCCTCTTCTCTCTCTCTCATTCTCTTTCATGCTATGAAGCTAAATACACCTCCCATCCATGAGAATCGTAAGACAACTGTCACTAATAGTTTTCCTCACATTAAAGCAACAAGTATAGCTTTCTCCATATAACCAGGAAAATATATTTGTAAAAACTTCAACTCCTCTTCAACATATTGACAAGGAAGCAGAAACAACCCTGTGATTCTCAGCAAATACACGATCCTTTACTCTAATTCTTCCACTGAGTTCATCCCTCAATTTCAGAGCATTTTCTTCCTGCCTTCCTTCCCTTTATTTCTCTCCTTACATTCCACTCAATAGCAAAGTGTTATTCTCTCTATGATAAGGTCAGCCTACCAATGGCTCAAATCATATCTTGTATCACATTCTTCTGAGTTACTCAAAAACTATCACTGAAGTTCAGATCTTTCACCACACCAACATTCACTGGTGTGCACCTGTTTAATACAAAATTATTCCTAAAATTTGATTTTCTAATGTTCTTTCTCTTACACCTCCTGAGCAAAATATTGTGATTTGCATTTTACATAGCCAGAACCTACAAACTAGATACAATACAGACAGATGATAGATAGTTTACACTGGGTCAGTATGAACTATATACACTGTACATATGTGTATGAGCACACACATATCTCAATATTTTTATGGTTTATGGCTCTCAGAATGAGAAAAAAAACCTCACTCTGAAACCAAATGATGTCTAGCCTAGCAGGAAACATCAAGCATCAGTTTGTAATCTGTTACGTGCTTAGCCAAATACTGAAGATGTTGTTACACGGTTACTTTCACTCGCCAGGACAGTGAACTGCTGAAGAACATAACATTCTATGCTTAAAACTCAAGAGCATTTCTCACATGTCTAAAAAAAGTATAGTAGGAAAAAAGTCAGTCTTCAGTGTCTGTAATCCAGTGGATAGAACCAGAAATATAGTGAGGAATATTTGATAGGCAGTTCCTACTTCTTTCTTGCAATATTTTTCTCCTATGTACATAGCTGCACTTACGCAAGTAAAAACTTTGGTATACAGCTCATTAAATAAAGAAAACAGTTCTGTGCAGCCTTCCTGGCCACTGTGAATGGATTTTCTGAAAGTCACTTTATTTGCAAGCAGAGGGATTTTTCTGGGAGTGGTGAAAGGTAGAAGTGTTTGTATTATACAGCTGAATGACTGTATTGGATCATGTACAGTCAGCCAGGTCAGCATTAACAACAGTAATTATGAAGTGACAGATGTGATTATTATTCACATCCTAAGAAGAAATCATGGTAGTTCCAGCTCTGTAATGTTCAAAACCACAGGTCAGATATCAACAAGCCAATTAAAATCTCATTGTGGAGCCCAACTTTTAAACATTCAAGATCATCTTGTATCATCAAAATACTCAAAAGCTTTTTATTCTGAATATTTTCTGCAACTCATTTACCTCTAGTTAGACCTCACTTACCAGGTAGTCATCACAGCTACTTTCCCACTATTTCCCTGAAGGGAACTCCCAGCTTCCCTTCCAAAACAGTGTCCCTGCTGATCCCAGAAAAAAAAGATTTTCATGTTGCTGTGTCCCTGCCCATCTTATCAACAAGCTCACCTTTTGCTCTTGCTGTTCCCCTGCAGAGATGACAACGCAGCTGTAACCTTCCTACTGTGCCCACACAACCTCTCAGCCACGCTGCTTTTGGAGACTGTGGGTCCAAGAGCAGCCTTGCCGCTCTACAGTCAAAAAGCCTCAGGACCTTTTGTATATGACATGTCATGGGATGCTATCAGTATTCATCCTCTTCCATACAAAAGCACATGGTATTAACACAATGACTACATTTTACTCTTGCCTTCTCAGATTATCTTCTGAGGATACTGCTTTAAACAGAATACTTATTATTGGTGGTATGGGTTGCTGATCTTTCATCCAAAGACACACCTCTCTAGTAGGAAGTCTGATGAATAAAGTGACTGAAGGTGATGACACCCCAACTGGCAACTAAGCCTCACAAAACTGTTTACTCACTCCACCCCACAATAGGATGAGGGACACAATAAGAAGGTTAAAACTAAGAAAATTCATGGGTTAAGACAACAACAGTTTAACAGGTAAAGCAAAAGCTGCATGAAGAAAAAGCAAAGCAAAGCACAGAATTCATTCGCCACTGCCCAAGGGCAGGCAGGTGATCAGCTATCTCCAGGAGAGCAGGGCTCTCTCATGTGTAACAGTGGCTTGGGAAGACAAACATCATCACTCTGAACCTCTCACTGTTCTTGTTTTTCACCCAGCTGTATACGGTGAGCATGATGCCACATAGTATGGAATATCCCTTGGGTCAGTTGGGGTCAGCTGTCCCAGCTGGGTCCCCTCCCAACTCATTGTGCTCTCCTCTGGTGGAGCTGGGTGAGGAGCAGAAAAGGCCTTGGTTCCATGTAAGCAACACTCACCATTACCAAAAATATCTCTGTTTTATCAACACTATTTTCAAATCCAAAATAATGGTCTCATTCCAGCTACTGTGAAGAAAACTAATCCTACCTTAGCAAAAACCAGCACAGAAAGAGACTCTGAAGGCAACAGGCTTTAGAGTCTGCAGTGAAAAGCCATTCACTTGTGAAAGAACAAGGATTATTCCCAAACTCTTTTTAAACCAATTCAGAACGCAGTTCACTCATGAAATATGAGTAGCACATACAAAAGTAACTCATAATAATAACATAAAAATAACATAAGATAGCATAACCGCCTTAAATGCTTTCATACGCCTGCACATTCTTTTTATATCTGAGGTTGAAGGTATATACCAAAATCCCTACCCTATACAATGCATAAATTTATACAAATAACAAGAACTAATACATAGGAAAAGAATGTTTTCTGGAAGTTAGTGGAAAAAAAGTCAGATTACGCACATTTCAGTAATGGTTTCTGGAAGGTTGGTTGGGATCTCAGTAAGGCCTTTCCCACGACAGTCCACGATGTTGTTACTACAGGTGCATGCAGTAGGGCAGTGCAAGACACTGCAGGATGGAGCCATAAAGGACTGGTGGCCTGCAAAGGAAAGCACGACATTTTACACTTACTTGAAAAATTTTGGGCAGAACTTCCAAAATAAACATTGTAGCCTATCAGTACTTCCAAACTGCATTTATTTAAACACACAGTTAATACAAATAATGTCAATACTAACAAACAGCCCAGAGAGGTGAAAGACAAATGCTCCACTCTTGTGATAGCACTGCATAATTTTTCACTACTCAGCACTACTTTAGCAACAGCCATTCAAAATCATCTTAAGAAGACTGTGATCCATTTTTCAGATATATTTTATTTATTGTGTGCTATTAAAAACTAATTACTGATTTATTTAGTTTTCAGAATATTGTATAGTATTAAAAAATGTGTGTCAAGAAAAATGGATAAACTTTGCTATGAGCACTGAATGTGACCTGCTAGCTTTTTTCTGTTCTGCAAATATTCATTTGAATATGGTCCTTCAGTTAGGTATTGCTTATAGACAGTTTTGGAGTTTTTATTAATTTCATGACATTTTCATTCAGTCACATAAAAATACATAAAAGTTTTGACTTCACATCTCTCACTCTGTTTTAGCTCAGTAGATTTCTTCCTCCCACAATCTGCCATTCTTACTAACTCAGGTAGTCAGTTTACATGCGTTCCCCCTTGATTTCTTAGTGTTGTATGTTAAAGTCAAAATTTTTAATTGCATTTAGACTTAATAATTTCATATTTAGATAAACTTTAGAAATTAAAAACCTTACTATATTTTCCTGCAAATAGATAGAATGCACATTTTATAATACATTAATGCATTCATTCTTCTAGCAATTTAATGATACAGAAAGACAAAATGATGAGAAAGGCGTGATACCCTTTTCTTTCTTTTTTCATTAAGTTAGTAAAATCTAGAGACTGTTTTGATATTCTCAAGGAGAAAAAGAAACAACTTCTTGACTATGAAACCACAATTTAAGATCCCTTTCACAATATTTAATGTAATATATTAATACAGGAAGGGTATACTGATAATATAAATTGCAACCAGTGCCGTTCCCACTTAAAGCTTCATAAAACAACTGTCCAAATTCTAAATTGCTGAAAAGATTTTGAGGTCAGGTTGGATGGGGCCTTGAGCAATCTAGCCTGGTAGAAAGTGTCCCCGCCCATGGCAGGGGAATTGGAAGATAATCTTTAAGGTCTCTTCCAAGCCAAACCATTCTATGATTCTATGAGATGGAATTTTACAATATAATAATTTGATTTCACATTTATGTTCATGTTACAAAAGTATAAACAATAATCAAATTTAATAACACCCACTATTCCTTATATACTACCAGGAAGGAAATGTTTCACCTACCTTTACTGAACAAAAATACAGTGATTCAGAGAGAAAACATGGTTATTCCCCTTGCTAATAATCAACATTATAATGATCAAGTTATAAAACTGTTCTTGACACCCAGGCTCTGCAGCCATAACATTTACATCTAAGATGTATGAAATTATCTTGTTAGGAGCTCTTTTAAATGTACATAAAGGCAGAGTTAGTGGCAAGAATACTGTTAGCATCTGCTGTATGAAGATGGCAGTGTCTTACATTTTGATGTCAGGGGTTATTTAATAAGGACAGAACATTGTAGTCTCCATAAAACTCTTTTAGAAACACAGATCTGTGCAAATTTTGGCATATTTGGCAATAGGCTTCTGGGGGTTTGCAGAAAATCAACCAGAAGGAGAAAGCCTGCCGAACCACTGAAAAGACAGCAATATTGCAGCCGGTTTTTAATGTTCCTGGCAAAACTTGAAACAGTAGACAAAATTTACAGAAAATTTTCAATCGGAGTGTAAAAATATTTGAATAAGAAAGATAAACTTGCCTTCTTCCTCATCTAGAAGATACGAATAAAGGAAAAAAATTGAATAGAGAAAATGTGATTAGTAATGAACTGTTAGTCATTTCATTATTTCATATCAAAAACAACCTTATGCATTAGAGGATAACAATAAAATTCAGAAAATTACTTAGGGATTCAGAGTAATATTTAAAAGTCAGAAAATAACAACAAGTATATACCTGTAAAATTTAAAAAAATAATTCCTTATTACTAAGGGGTTTATGTTCTCAATCAGTACACCTTTTATTTAATTTCCTGTATCTCTCCCCCACAATTATACTTTTAGAAGGCTATAAAAATCTATGCAAACGCAATATTTACACAAAATTTGCGAGGACACGAGCACCCCCAAGAATATCCATGAAAATGACTAGGTGTTGCTTAACGAGCACCCATGCTTGGGTGACACAAGCGCTAACAGAAGTCAGCAGGCAGCACTGGCAGTCCCAGCAGGCGTGACTCAAGGCAGGACTCGCTGTTTCTCTTACCGCTGCAGACAAACTCCCGCTTCTGCACCTCGGCCACGTTGTGCCCGCGCAGGTGTGACGGCCCCATGCACTGCGTGTAGAGCCCCACGCGCGGCCGCTGCCGCAGCCAGTCCGACAGCCAGGCCAGGTGGCAATCGCAGTACAGGTTGTTGGAGTGGAGGCGGCTGCATGGAACGAACACCGCGACACCGCCCAGTTAGGAAGAACCAGCACAAAAGCAGCCACTTTGCCCAGCCCTCCCTTCAGCAAGCAACTATGCCAATTTGTCAATAAAACTGTTAATGAAGAACTTTTTACATCTTTCACTGGAAGTCTGGGAGTTATAAGTTAATAAATAAAACTATACAAGCAGCAAAATTACTTTTTGTGATCTAATTAACTGGAAGGAAAAAAGAAGGCTTCCTAATAAATTAACTTTTCTGTAGTTTCCTGTTCCGTGTCTAAAATAAAGAAGTAAATATACAAAAGCTTGAAAGACGACATGGGACTCTCTAGTCCAGATCTCCATAAATAGTGAATAAGACAAAAATATCTCATGAAATTTGCCCTAGATTGGTAATACTACAATGTCAGAAGAAAAGGGTTAAGAAAAGATTTTGTTTCCAATTAGATATAACTGTAAGACTGGCCCTTATTAGTCTCTATAGAAACAGCCTGAACAAATCTCTTTAACAGATCATACTCATTTTCCACTGAACAAGATAGAGTAATAACTCAATATAAAACACCTTTCACATCTCTTTTCTGATTTCCTCTCTACTTGTTTAGTAGCAGAAAGTGGGATTAGCTGCTTTTGGCTGCTAGGGATCTGCATTTTAAGCAATGCCTGAAATTAATTAAAAGACTAAACGGAAGAAAGTGATGGAATTAAGAAAGTTGTCTCTGTTGGAATGCTCTGACACAAGACCATGGCTCCTTGCCAAGTGGTAAAAAGCACTTTGCCATTGATAAAATATCAGACAAATGCATTCACTAAATTAGGTAAATTACTCTTCTCTGGCTCTTACATTTTCTTAAACTATCGAAAAGGATGTCCACAGCTATAAAATAAATTGTTACTCAGAACCATCCATCCATAACAGGGACACGCCATTTTGGTCCTTTTTAGCTGTTGCGCTCAATCCTAACTAAATAAGTGGAAAGGAAGCGCAGGAAATTCAGAATGTAGACAAAGAGTCTAACTAATCCATTAGAAAATAAATCTGCAAAGCAACATGAAATGTGTAACCATTTTATGTTGTTATTTACTTATTTAACCATAACTAAAATATTAACCAACGCTTTTTCCCTCTGTAAATGACTAGAGATTAAAGGCAATATATATTCCTGTACTAATTCTTGGGTGGGTGCTTTGCAAAAGCAGCTCACAATACAGCATATTCATTCACCACAATCTGTAGCCAGCTGTAGGCACAAAGACCATCACAAATCAGAAGTGATGCCACTGAAATCAATATAGTTATACAAGCATATTCTGACTGCAAATGGGATGTTACAGCTACAATCCAGGATTCTGTGTGCCCAGTCTATTTTGTTTCTAAAACATATTTTCAGAAAATGAAATATCCTAACCAAAGAAAATGTAAATATTGCTAATTTGATTAACTCTAATTTATGGTTCAAAACAGAAACTGTATTTGAAAGTTTGAAAAAAGTACAGATTGCACATTTTCAAGACTCAGGCCTGAAAGAATCGAATGAAATTCTGTTATCTAAATGTACCTGAGGTGACCAGCGTGGTCACCCGTGGTCAGCACTATTTAAGTACGCTTAAATTTGTCCAAGCAAGAATAGCTGCAATTCTGTGATGAAATTAACAGAACTACTCACCTGTGTGAAGTGTCTTCACACAACATGTGTTGTACAAGGCATATGTTAACCAGAGTTAACAATAGTCCTACTGATTTCAGAACAGTTGTGCAACCCAACATGGGTAAAAAGAAACTAGACAGGTTTTTTGTAAAGGTAATTTTTTAACACTAACAGCTATTCTTGGGCTCTGATAGAAACATTCCATTCATTCTTAATTCCCACTTCACTGGAAAATCTGCTTAAAAGTGAGTCTCTGGACTAAACCTGGTTTTTCCAGTCAACACAATCTAGATTTATTTGTAGTCAGTATAAATATACCTATACAATACAATTCCAGCCTGTATGACTTCCATACACATTTTTTATACTGTGCTTTGTTTTAGAAGTCTGAAGTGCTCCTCTGTCAAAGTCATAACCTCTAAAAATGGGGACCTTATTGTAAATGCTGACACAACTTTAATTATAATAGCACTACCGGATGATGCTATAATTTTATGTTACAAAGAATGTTGGCAAGCCAGTTGAGTTTAATTAGGTCTGCTAGCAGTACAGTAATAAAAGCATAAAGATTTCCCATTTATCACATCTGACAGTCAATCAAAGAATCTCCAGTGTTCCTAAATGAAATGTGACCCATTCAATAGCTCAAAGTAAAACAAATTTTTGACTTTCAAAAAACATCAATTTATTTCTCTATATAGCTGTAGCATGTAAGAATTCCTCCTGCCAACATCTTTTTTTGGTTAGAAGGTGAAGCTGTGAAGCTTTTCTGTGACTGAATAGAGCACTATGGAAACTCCATTTGGGAAGAGGCCATGAAACCATTTGTATAGACTTATACAATTCATACCCTAAAAAAGTTGATGGAAAAGGATACAACTTCTTTATCTCCAGAACCCCAGGTACAGCTTTGGGGTCACTTGATAGGTTTAGCTTTCAGAATTAGCTTCCACAGACATACACACACACACACACAGGCTTCACGCTTGTCAACCTCATGAGACATCAATATTTTTTATTTGAGCTTATGCTTGCTCTGCCTGTAAATGTATTTATAGATCCCTGACAAAACTTAATAGGGGTAAAAATAAAATACTGAACTGATTAAAATGGCAGCCAGTTTCAGTGGGACTACTCACAATGTTCTGAGTTTGGGCATATGGTTGAAACTTGCCACGGATAGTCGAGTGATGTTGTTATTGTTGAGAGTGCTGCAAAGCCAAGAAGAAGTATATTAACATCTTAAGAGTTTTGTCACATTTAAAAAAGGCACAGCTAATGAAAGTCATGGTGTACTGTTTCTAGGGATGGATATCAGGAAATAAAATCCCCACTTTTAGTTGTATTTTTCCTCCCTGTTGAATCCCCAACAAAATACCACGGTTTTACCATTACTGATCCTAAGTAAGAAGTCACAGCAGCCCATAATTCACTCAAAAGGAACTTCCACCAATATTGGTAACATCTATGGCATTCAAGCCAAACTTCATACCCTGAGGTAAAAAAGAGTCCTTGAAGAAAATGGCTTGGTTCTCTTTCTAGCTTCTGAGAGTCTGATTTTTGACAGATCATACTGAAGAGCTGAATGATTTTTTTCCATGAACTTTAATAAAAATTAACTCTGGGCTGTGCTTATGTTTTATACAAAATGAGTTACTATAGATTATCCAGAGCTGCATGAACTGTAGGGGAGTTTCCAATATAATAGGAGACAGGAATTATAACAATTAAGCAAACTAGTAATTTAAATTTTAGACAAGGTGTTGAGAAATTGAGATAGGAAGTAGAATCAAATCTTAGCCAATTCTTGGCTACACGGGCCCATGATACTCAGTACATGTAGTTTGTAAAGATTCAGGAACTTTATGAATTAACTTGCAATTAAATATTGTCTTTAGGCTGCAAATAAAATGTGAACAAGCTTGACTCCAAAAAAAGGAAGCAACCAATAGGATTTACAGATTTGACTTAGAGATTACTCATCTGAGCAGAATGGATAATAAGTTCTATGTAAATAGAACAGTAATAAATAATAACACCCACTTAAAAAAGCTTTTCTCTCTTTTGAAAGACAAAGTATTTTCCTTTTTCTTTTTTTAAAAATTTTTTAAAGTACAAACTAATTTTTACCTGTTTTGAACAATTTTTTTAGTACTATCTGATCTTGAAACACAGAAAGGGAAAATCTCAACATCCTAACCAGGATCAGGCTATATATCCTCCCATTAACCAAGTGATTAATTACTGGTGCAATGTTCAGCATTTTACTTTTGTGTGCTTACTCATTCCATGAACTAAATCTTTCCTTTGCTGTGCACAAGGGATCTCCCCTGTGTGTTCTTAGGGATACATAAACAGAGAGAAGAATAATAGAAAAAAAAAAAGAAAAAAATTTAAAAATAATAATTAAAAAAATCCCAAAATAATAAATAGACAATTTTTGCCCCTTTTCAAAACATAGCAAATACAAAACAACAAAAAATGGCCAGTGTACTGGGTACATCCACAAAAGGTGTTTTAATGAATAAATATCAGTAAATTGTGGCAGAGTTTTGTTACAATGTACACGCGGTAAATGACGGCACCCACAGTTCTTCTTGAATAACTTCTTAAAACATTTTAAAATCATATATTTTCAGTGAAGGGAAGGGAAATCAGCCAATATTTGCATAGGAGAAGGCGAATCTACAAATGTTTTAATTTCCAGTTTTGGCTGTTTGATGTTTGCCTTGCTATTTTGTATCTATGAGCTATTAATTTATTTTTTCAGGGTAAAGAAAATTAGATATAGGAATAGATGTAAGGGATACATATGGAATTAAATTATTGTTATAGCTATTTCTTTGTAATGATAAAAATGCTTAATTTCATTGCAGAGATGTAATTAAAAAAAGTTGGCTCAATACTTTTACCTTAGTGTTACATACTATAGCATTAGTATACATACTATACATTGGGATGACTGACTGTTTTTCTATTTTGTAGAAACTTTTCTTTTTTTTAACATGTCAGCATTATAATTTTCTCATAGTTTGTTTCCCAAATACAGTAGATTTCCCTTAAAAAACAAACAAAAAACCAAACAAATAAACCTCAGAAAACCCCCAGAAAACCCCAAAACAAAACAAAATGAAAAAAGACAAAGGAAAAATAACATTTCACAGAAAGTCATGGGGAGGAATATTCAGGCTATTTTGTATCTTTAACACTAACAGCCTCTAAAATTCTATAATTATTTAACCAAGACATAAGACTTATTACTTTGGTAAGCACTTCAAACTGTTACTTAACAGAAATACAATCTATTTAAGAGCTTTACCTCAAACTTGAAGTAATATCCACTCTCTCTACTTAGAATAATTGACTCCAAATGAAAACACTATGCATAGTCTTATTTGCTACTCAGTGCATATACAGTATGGTCTGATCTACACAGCTTTAATTTTTTTAAGCCATATTGTAAAGGAAGCTTCATTAGATACAAAATCTTCAGCAGTGTTGGAAATATCTATCTCAATTCCTTAAAATGCCATGAATCTTTACATAATTTTTATCACATAACATAATTCAAGACAGCAGATGTTTAGGCATGTAGCTGAACAATGCTGATAGACTACGTATATTCATTCACAAAATTCTAACTACCTACTTTACAGAAGACTACTGTTTTAGAGATTTATTTCCTCTTTTTTCCACTCATTGAAATTAATGTAAAAACTCTACCCCTGACCTCAACTGCAAGGATGACCTTTTAAGAACACTAAAATTGCAAGCATTAAAAAATGCAGAAAACATTTGATTTACTTTTTTTAAATAAACATTTAACCCTTGCACTTGTAAATAAAGGCTCATATTAACAAAAAAAAACCCAAAACCAAACCATAATAATCACATTCAGCCATCACTGGAAAAAATATTTTGTCACATATAAGAGTTCCAAACATAAAAACCACAGAGAACATCACAGTTACTAACAGACAGCTAATCATCAACTTAACATTAGATGTACGCTTACACTATATTTTACATGGCTTTATATCACAGAGTTAAAAATTGGCCTGTTATTCTATGATTGCAAAGGAAAAAAAAAAATACCAAATTTGGCTGCCAGTTTCATTCACTCCTAAGTAAAACCAACTAGTATTTAATAATGAAAAACTTTTACCACCAGCTACTCACATACTCCTTGGTTTCTTAGACATGCAGACACTATCTATTGCTAGAGAAGCTTCTGTTCTTCGGAATATTTAAAAATATTTAAAATATTCTTAATAATGTAAAAATTATATAAATTATATTACATACAATATATATATATTATAATATATATATTATAAAATATAAAATAATATAAAATATTTTAAAATCCCCCAAACACAACAAAACCCATATCCTCACCCTCCTCAAGTTGTGATTTACCAGGTGTGATTCAAATTAACATGAAGTAACTCACTGATACACAAATTCTTTCACTTCTCTTAATGAAGAAAATCCAAATAAAATGTGCCATTTTGACTGACAGAGCAAATATTTCAAGAATGTGTCCTGTGCCTCAGATTCTTTGGGAACTAAGGCACTTTTCTCATTACAGTAATGAGTCTCAGATTATAATTTTGTTACCTTTAACCTTACTGATAGCTACTTGAAGAAAATGAAAAAAAAATGCAATAATAATAATAATAATCATAGTAATAATGATAATCTTCTGTGACACAAAAAAGATATTTTTCTACACATACAAATGTATTTATGCACATAAAATATTTTAAAAAGAAGCTATTAACATGGACATGCTAAACAACATACAGCAGTAGTGTTGGCTAGAAAGTGCCTCTTTGAAAACATTCAGATTGTCAAATAGATATAGCATATTGTTCCTTACACTGAGTCTGAAAGATCAAATTGATATTGTGTATACAACAAAAGCAGTCCTGAAGATGCTCAGCACATCAACAGTAATGGATAATTTACAAAATTAATTGAATTCATTAATGCTGCTGCCCTCCTCCTTTTTAAAATGAAATATATTATTTTCTTACAGTATCTGCCAATGGCTATTATTATTATTATTATTATTATTATTATTATTATTATGTTTAATGGCTGTCTTGGAGAGTAAAGGAGTATCTATGCCTCTCCATATCTTCTCACCATTTTATAGCACATGGCAGTGGATTATTTTAAGACATCTTTTCACTAGCCCATCCTGACACCAGGCTGCAGCTCGCAGATAAGCTGCTGCATTAGTACTCCCCTGACACTGAGCTCTCGCTACAAGTAAGAGATACAAGGAATACTTACAGCACTTCCAGGTCACGCAGAGCCCTAAATGCCCCATCTTCAATACAGCTGATCTGGTTGTAATCCAGTTGCCTGTTAAACAGATTAGGAAGGCATTTGTAAGGGAGAGGCGCGAAGGAAGCCTCCCGAAGGGCTGGCAGGGACAGGCCATGCCAAGGGAAAGGCTCTGGCCATCGCTGCCGCCCGCTTGAGGCTGCTGCACGGTGCTGGCCTGCTCACTGCCACAGAAATCCCTTTTTGTTCTCAACCGTCTGCGCAAAACAGCCGCGCTGGGAAAGCTCCAGTAAATAATAACTGCACCTTATATTAAATGCCAAAGGAATGCAATTTCATTACATCAAGAAAAGCTATCCATTAAAAGCTCTCAGCGTCATCTTGCTGAAACAATTTCATTAAGGTAAAGGACGGTAAATCACTTAATGTCACACGCATCCCCTCGGTGACCTAACAGAATCCATTTATCAGAGCAGCCCAGCTGCATGTTAATTCCACCCGCCGCGGCAGGGACCGGGGACAGACACCAGTTTTAGGGGTCTCCCTGCGTGTGTGCATGCCTGGAGCAGGTGGGAGGTGGTACCCCCGGGTATGCAGGGGATTTAGAGTAATTACCTCTTGGAATATGTCTACATGCAGAAATAACAGTGTCCGAGGCATTCACAGACCTGTTTACTCATCTCCTTTAGTTCTGCTTTAAATGAAAGTAGTGTTTCTGCTGTAACCTTCAGTATCTGCTTTTCTACAGACTTTGTGCTGTCTGCAATTATATGCAGATAGTATGTTGGAATGGAGCACTTGAATTCTAGACATAAAATTTAGCACTCCATCCTATACATTATTAATCCTCAAGTATTAAGTTATGAAAAATTTAGATTCATTTCTCTGAAGATGATTATTACCTTTTCAATTCAAAACATTGATACAGCACATACAGCCCAATTAAAAATGTCTCCTTAAATTAATAACCATGTAAATATAAAATCACACTTTCTCTACTGATAAAAGCTTTCCCTATAAATACTGAATTGTCTTATGCATTTCAGGGCATGACTTGCAAAGCAAAGGTGATAAAAAAACCTCACTTTTAAAACTTCTCCAAGCTGGTAGCTTGTCAGCGTCAAATAATATATATATGAGTAAATGTGTGTGAATAATACTAAGAAAATGAACAAAATACAAATGAACTCTGCCCTTCTGTCTTCAATTATATATTAGCTAGCCGGGCTAATGACACCTTTACTAAAGCATTTTCTGTGATTCTTCTGAATCTATGATAACATTTTACTTTATTAATAAATCATCACACCCACTGCTGAATGTAATGCACCAACTTCTATAAAGTTCTTCTAGTTTCATCTGAATTACTACTATAAGGGAATAAAATATTGTCATAATTGTAACAGTGCCTGTATTTCTGTGTATTGAAAGCTAAATGCAAACTATCAGTTGTTGAATATGATCTTTAATCGTTTTGGTGCAATGTTACAACACCAGTGCTGCTGCAGCATTGGAATATTTAGGTCTACTTTCTAAGGCTTCTTCAATTTTTAGTAATGAATTTCATTTTACAATTAAGCTAATAGCCTTTTTATTTTAAAGAGGTAAAATATATATACAGTACAATTCCCTAACCTCTCAAACAATTTATCAAAGCTATTTAAATTACTACAATGGCATGAAATGTTACCCTTGACACAATACAAAAGAGAAATTGTTTCCAGACAAATTGGAAAAATCTTTTAATGCCATCAAATTTGCCTAATGCAGTCTGCAGGTTAATCTGTAAAAGGGTGAGCTGTATGTTTGCCCATATCTTATTATCCTTAGCTGTCAATGTATAAATCAGTGCTGACACAGCTTCTTCTAAATCATCCGTATTATACACAAAGGAAAACCTTTTAAAGTGGAGAAAGCACTTGAGCAAATCTTGTCCTACACAAACTGAAAGGCAGATTTCTTCCACTAGACTGGCAGCAGTTTTGGTGATCCTGAAAACTTTTGGACTTCTTCCTTTAATGAGTCACCATGATCACTACCTTAGTGAAGGGTGAGTTGTTTCCATTTAAACCTTTTTACCAGAAAGATTATTCTGCTTGCACTGAACTAACAAATTGGTTTCAGTTTGAGGAAGGGAAGTTTGCCTATGGGAGAGGGAAAATATTCCCTAGTTTTAAAAATTACTTTCTTTGAAAGATGCTACCATCTTTATGTTTCAGGTAATCTTCCATCAGTTACAACCATGATATAAAAATGATTAGACACACACGATGAAGAACAATTGGTGTGATATATATATACATATATATATACACCTACATTTATTCTTTAAGCTATGAAAGGGACATGACTTTGAAGACTGTGTAACTGGCTTGAATAGCAATTTATGGTAAAAGTAAAGGTTAAGAGTAAGGATACCTTACACTGCATCTATGACCCAAACAGAAAGTTAGACAATATTCCACAACCAGTGGAATTAACTTAATCATTAACTTACGATGCCCTTCTAATAGATATACTGAAGCAATGTGTGTCTTTTCATAAAACTGGTTCTCGATAGCAAGAATGTATTAAGCTGTGTCTTAAGGCACAAGCAAGAATACTAGAAATTAGAAAGTACATATTTATCTCATTTTATGTTCTATTGTTTAAGTATGACTTTCAAAACCACACAAAAAATCTCCAATACCATAATGAAAGTTTTCTCACCACTAAGCTAATTCCATCTTAGAAAGCTTTTCTTCCCCTAAGAGCTGCTTTTCTTCTTTTCAAATTATTAGAACACTGACAACCGAAGCAGACCAGCAATTCTGGCCCATTCTCTTCCTTCCCCTCTCCCCAGTTTCTCTTCATCATCTTTCTGCCTGCTCCATCTCCATTTTGGGTCTTTTCTGTGTGGTCTCTCCATGCTTTTGCAGAGTTGGTGTTCCTTTCTGTCTCTACCATTCACAAAGATTCGGCAGTGCTGTTCCTGTGAAGCTCATAGGACACCAAGCAGTTGTCACATTCAAAATCCTTCCATCATCCCAGAGCATTAACTGGATTTTGCACCCATGTCTGCAGCATTACCTGGGTATTTTGTACATGAAATAATCAAACTGAATTAATCTACTGCTGCTTAAAATGTCAATGTTTATGTTAGTTTAGCAACAAGAACTAGTAAGAATAATAAGCATTCAACTAATAATATTCCTACTTTAAAATGTTTTTTATTTATTGCTCTTGTGAATACATCATATGCTGTAGAAACATATTGCTAACCTATATTTTCTTCCTTTCTGGCATATGTTGTCTACCAGATAATGATAATTAAATATCTTAAAATAAACTTAGTTATCCCACAAGGAGAACATTTAATGACTGACAGAAAATGTTGCATACATTAAAAACTACAACCCTAATACAGGAAAAATCCGTCATCTCACGCTTGACAGAAAAAATCGCCTTTACTCATTCTTAGAAAGTTGAAAGTTGGAAAAGTTGAATTCAAACAATTGTCTGCTTTACTATCCTGCCCTTCACAGTTTGAGGACACCTTGTGGTCCTGTGCAAGAGCTACTTTTTTCAACAGAATTGAGTTATGTTTCCTATTTCTTACTTCTCAATTTCAAGACAAATCAATAATTTCAGAGGAATTAGTTAAAAATTATGCAAAAACCTCATGCCAGAACTTACTGTTTTTATCAAACTTCAAAGAACTGCTTGTTTCCCATGACTATTAATATTTACATGCAAGTAATGCATACTTGCTGAAGAAACTAGAAGTTTTAGAAATTAAAAGATTTATAGTTCAATTGCTCAATCTTCTAAAAATTGTCTAGAGCTCTACTTGGTTAATCCCAGAATTATCTTATAGGAGGAAAATAATATTAAAAAAAAGTAAAAATGAAATAGAAGAATATCATCAAAAGGAGGATGTACACAAAATGAAAAATTTATATGTTATGTGATTCAAAAGTATTGTCACATTAATGAAAAATAACTTTTAAAAAGAAAATAAAACTTTAAAAATAGTGGCCAAAAGGCCACAGGGTCACCAACCTGCTTGGCAAAAAGAGGTTTAGGAGTCACTAGAAAAGTGTACCTATCTATACTTTCCTTCATGGCTTCAGAGCTATTTCTTATTGTAATAAAAATCTTAAGCATACACAGAATATATTTCACTACACCCTGTGAAAATCCTTCTTTATGTAAACTTGAAACGCAGGTGGCTGAATAGACTAGCAGTCCAATTGAGATTCCCAGTAAGAACAAGCATGAGAAATATTGATTTCTTGATTATTTAAGCATATCTTAACAAGCAATGCATTTGGAACAGCACTTGTACAGATGAATAGATAACTACACTTCCAGTTGCAGTGGCATTTTATGTGCAATCTGTGAAGAAATAGGGAATGAGAACATCTTCAGCAGGAATCTCCTTTTCAACTGCTAATAATTGAAATTAAAAAAAGTGCCATCATTCCCCAAAAAAGATTAATACAAAATTCATTTACGTCTTTAGTGGCAGCTTTAAATGTTTCACAATCAGCATAAAAGAGGCATAAGGGAAACAACAAGTAATATCAATCAAAGTTTTGGACAAAGCTTAGTATAATGGGAATGACTCAGGCTGGATGCTGGTGGCTGCCTCCCTCTTCACTGATTCTTCATTTTCCCAGGCAATTTAATGTGTGAAGCTACTACATTGCTCTGCAGCCTTTATCCCTGGCATGACAGCAACGGTCTCCCCCACTTGCTGGGAGAAATGGAACCAAATGAGCACAAAGAAGAGAGTAGCTGAAAGAAAGGCCAAGACCATGACAAGAAAAACAGGACACCAGATCCTTGCACGCAATACAATGAAAACATGCCCTAATGTTTTTGGTAACGTTTGAGACTGCATATATTTAGCATCACAATTCCACCATGATATCGGTATATTCCTTTGCATCCTCTGCCAAGTATTGATTACACAGTGATAGAGAAAATTGGAATATTGAAATGGAAGACTTGAAATGGAAAAGTTCTAAGGCCAAAATCTACTCAAAAGGAGAGCATAGCACTACTGTTCTTTCAGTGGTGCCTCACATTTGTTAGTAACTCAGTTATTTTTCTTTCTAATTCAACTAGCTTCAAAAACAACCCCATTCAAGCTTACAATCTGGACACCTAAAGCATTTTCTTACCATCTTAAATACAAACAAAATTCCTGATGTTGGGAAAATTTAAAAATCTTTCACATCCAGTGTGAGTACTATGTCGCCAGGGAGGGTTATGAAATGTTCATTAACATGTATATTAAAAAATCTGTGTTTATTTTCCCATTTATATGATAATTTCTATTTATTTTTTAAAATCGTGGGTGGCACTGTGTTCTCTGAAGAATCTAATGTTTTGAGGAATACTTTTCTCCCTGAAAAATTAGCAAGTTAGGGGTAACTTTCAGAATTATATCCAGAACTTCACATTAATTTCTCTTAAGTCCCAGATCAGTAGCTGTAGGGCATACAGTGTACATGACTCTTTAAGTCATTCAAGAATGTTGGAGTCTGAGGCACTTCCTTGAATAGAAACATTGAGACTTTGACACACTGCAGCTATTTTGTTTTTCTTCATTTGAACTGTCAAAATAAGGTTTCTAGTCTGGTAGGCTACTATAACACAAGCTTCCCACATTTTTTGTCATTTTTACTGAAGAAATGAATACTTTACAAACAACAGGGCTGCAGTGGTGAGAGTGAAGGCAGGGACTTCTGAGTTCGTGAGATGGCACCTGGCGTTGGCTTCCCCAGTAGAAGACAGAGTCCAAACAGGGCCACCAAGATAAGAAGGTTGAAGCAGCTGACATTTGGGGGTGGTCTGCAATAACATCATTTGTTTGGTCCTCAGAAAGAGGGGAAAGGGGGGATCTTATTGCTGCCTACAATTGCCTCAAATGAGAGGACAGAGCCAAGCTCTTCAAAGTTAAAAGGCAGAAATTGGAAACAGGGTAATTCCAGTTAGATGTAAATTACATTTGTGAAGCCTGAATGTTTCTCAGTGTTTGTTATTCTTTTTTACTTCAAGGGTGTGGCAGGTTGCCCAGGTTGTCAATTCTCATAAGGGCTTTCCCATTTTGTTTTTATCTTCTACAGAGTCTATACGGTGAGCATTACTAAGATGTCCAGAATGAAAACACCATGGATGCATTTTATGGAGACTAGATGGCTTCTTCTGAGAAACATCAAGAGGACTCTAGAGCTAACATACTGCAGGAGGTTAGAGTGGTATTATCAACCTTAAAGGAAGCAGTTTCCTTCAGATTATCTGAGTTAACAGCTCATTCCCTTTGCTCTGCAAAGACTAAGTATATAATAAGGTATTTTCCAAAATACTCCAACTCCTGATTCAGAAGGAAGGTATTCTGTGGAACAATGAAACACAAATAAAATACTACTTGTAAAATTCTTGCTATACCTTTCTTCTCTAAGTAATGACCAAAGCTAGATGGAATGCTGGGGTTTGTCTCTCACATTCTGGAAAGGCACAACAGCCTGATCTAGTTACATAAACGCTGTGCTAGAATCCACCCAACTCACTCCATGAACTCATTGGTCATTCTGCAGAGTGAATTTAGAGAGATCATGAAGTTTTCAGATTAGGGGTTTGATTTTATTTTTTTACTTTTCTTTTCTGGGACAACTAATGAGGAGATATCTGTAGAATTTATCCTATCACAATAAAAAAATGCCACAGATATAATTTGGAATTTGTGGAAATTCTACGGCATTTATGACTTTATTATTTTAAATTATCTCCTGAAAAGAAAAAACACTTTAAAGGGCAGATCTACTGTTTTATGCAAGTTTCAGACATAATTCAGGATCCTTGGCTTAAAAATGCGCACTAAGATAAAAATAGTGTCTCAGATAAAGATTAGCATCCAAATGCAGTTTTTAACTGGAATTTTCTTACAATATATAAGTACACCTATATTCTAAACTACTTCTTTGTCACTAGAATATTTTCAATGATGCTGCTATTTTTACTACCAAAGTTTCTTTCTGTGGCTGTATAAATTTTCAAACAGAAAAGATCATGCAGAAAAATGCAGGCTTCTTGTAGCCAAACTTCTTTTTGACCATGCACAGTGATGGGACTAGTTCTGAATAAAAACTCATAATCTGTCATTTAAACAAAGTAACAAAGCTGCTTTGAGAATCACAAGGACTTGCATGTTTTGGGACACAATAGAGTTGAAGTTAATGATTTTTTCCACTGAAGTATGACAGAATTTCTCCCCAGAGAAGAACTGTAGTAGGCCAAATTCTTGGGCATTCTGGTAAATCTTCAAAAATACATTTTCCTCACAGATTTGTGTGCAGTGCTGCAGGCAGACAGAAAAGTGAAGGGCTTCCTGTCCCATCATCTCCAATTCAGGATACATCACAACTCTTCCTTCACAATCACAGAGCACTCCTGTGTCCAAAGCAGTACAACTACAAAGTTTGTCTTTCTATTTTAGCACTGGCAACTTCAATTAATAAAATTTTTTTCAGCAGGAATCACATGAAAGCCTCCTATAACCTAATGTTTCCCTATATTTATTGCTGCCCCATAAGATAGCAATCATATTTCTTCACAGTTGCATCATGCTGGAAGCTCCATAGTCTTTCTGAAACCCTCTGTCTTGGTTGTTTAGAAGTGGTGAGTCCTTAGCTTACAGCAGGGTAAGTTACAGCTTTTGAGAGCATGACCTATTGTTTCCTACTACAGAAGTTCATCAAAGCCTTCAGGTTGTTCGGCTTGTTCAATCCACTCAGCTGACTTACCACTCTGCATGGAAATTGAAAAGTCACTGCTTTGCTTTGTCCTGAAACTCACATATTTTCACATTTAGAAACCATAAGCATTCAAAACCCGCCCATGAACTTCAAAGTCACTATCTCCAGGAAAGTATCTTTCTTTTAGAAAACACAACAGAAGAAAACTGAGCAAGAAAAATAGTCACACAAGTATAAAAACATATGCTAGCAAAACTAGATAATAGCATGACCTTTCTTCTTTGCAAGCAAACAAAAGGCAAACTACTAAAACCAAAGGAAAATTATTTTTTCCACATGAAACCATAAAATGTTTCAACTTGCCTGACATTCAAATATTAAACTCAGGTTTCATAAACTAACAGTTATAATGCCATGTTGTCTTCAGCTCTACTTCTAAGTTTTACATTTCCATAAGGCAATTAGAGGATGTTTAAGATAAAGTTAAAGTATTTTGCCAAAGAAAATGATAAATATCAGTTTTATGTAGATATTCCTTAAGCAACTATAACAATTCTTAGAAAAAAGATATCCGATACAAAAAAAGAACACTGTATCAACAAAACATTGTGATCAGAATATATGGAGGGAAGAAAATACTTACAGATTTTTTATGTCTACTGCTCCTCGGAATGCCTTCCTTGGTATTGCTTGAATCTGATTTTCACTAAGATCACTAAGAAAAAAAAAAGAAATTAAACATAAAAATGCTATATGTATATATATTTGGTTTTGTGTATAAAAAAAATTTCAGCCGTTATGGTTCAGTCAATATTTCCAATGAAACTTATTTTATTACATTAACTGATTTGTAATTGAAGAAAAGAAGTAACAATAATAGTCAAAATAGTTTATCTGTGTCACACTAAGTAGGTCCTTTAGAAAATAGCAACATACATGCCAAAATAATAATAAAAAACCAAAGTGTTTTCACTTTTCAACGATTCCAAATCCATTTTGGATAGTATGTTCAGTTTTATCTAAGGAAGACTGAAATCCAGCAAAAAGAACAAATAGTGACCTATCGAGAAACAACAATGAAGTTCTGTAATATCGGAGGTCAATATGTTTCTGACTTGTTTTAGTGTCAAGCACCATATATTTTAAAAGAAGGAATTAAAATACATTCTGCAGCAGATATATAATATTCCTCCCTAAAGTCCCTGTATGATCAGCTGTACCATGCTATCTGAAATTATTATCTTTTACAATAGAGAAATATTATTAAAATACTTATAAAATTATTGTCCAGTAGTGGTTGTTTTGGTTTTTTTTGCTATCAGTATGAATGAACAGCCCTTTACTTTTTCTGAAATTCAGACACATTTTTGTCCTTCACAGGTCAATATTGGAAATAAAATCTAGAGAACTGCAGACTGTAGCAGAGGAGACAGATAAAATAGAAAAGGAAAAAACAAAAGCCAACTAGGATCCAGAACTTTCCATTTCTGTTCTGCATCATTGACAATGATGCAGTGCAATAGAAGATGACCAGTACATTAAAGTCTTTATTGCTGTATCTGTACCACATGCAGTTTGCAGGTTTCACCTCAGACAGTAGTTTTGTACCCTGGACCAAATACACCTATCACACATGGTACATGAATGCTTGAAGTCTCAGAAGGGGACCTATCTTAAATATCTGCTGCATTAAAATTATGAAATCCCATCTTCTTCTGGAAGCCTTCCAAGATGCACCTATCTATTCACAATATGGGGAACACAATTACCATTTTTATCATGATATAGGGAACACAATTAATGCTTTCTTGAGCATCTGAATAAAAATGTGTGAACAAATCAGATGTGTACAGGTGCTTCTGCAGAGGGATTTCAAGTCCATTTACACAGCAGTTTTCTTGTGGTTAACTAGATTTCATTTCACTAAAACCAATCCAGGATCTTCAATCTAAAAGCATGCCAAATGGAATCCAGCTCCTGACAGAAGTAAAGTTTCTCTGTCTTGAGCTTTAGTGATACCTTTATAGAACCTTTTTCAGAGAGATTTTTTAGAGAAACATTGCAAAACTGTGCACAGAAATAAGAGATCTAGCTCAGAGTAAGTGAACAAGCATGAATCATTTAGATGATTAGACATAGAAACTCATGCTTTTGATATATTCTTTCTCTAAAACATAATCTATCATGAGCTCATATTTCCAGTTCTGAGCAATCACTCCTGAAGATCCCTTTCAGATTTATGAACTTGCAAAAAATAATTTGAGGACTTTATAAAACCCCATGCTGCCCAACTTTAACAAAATTTACATAAACGTAATTATTTTGAAAATAATTCCACAGACATTGACAGCAACTTTGTTTTATCCAATTCACTGCTAATTTATGGAAAATCACTTTCTATTTACTAAACCTTTCATAGTTCATGCACCTAATTGTATTGCATTATCTTGTAAAGTATACTTAAAACTAGACCCAATTTTAGCATTATTAATCGTGTGTGAAAAAAGAGAATTTGTGAGCTGTGATTTAATTTTCAAGCCACCTAAGTAATCTTGAAATGGGATATGACTGCACTGCTCTGACAATAAATTCAGTGGCAATGAATGAAAAAGCAGCCTTCAGCATTTGTTACGGTAACATGATTTAACAGCCTACTTCCTTGGAAAAAAATTCCCTTATAAGTGTAAAATGCAAATATCTATATTTACACTTCTGTTTAATTGACTAATACATTTTACCTATATAAAAACTGTGTATGAAGTGGCTAAGCTAGAAGTAGTGATTTGTATCATGATCAATTATTCGTTTATAATACAGATATATGTATATACGTATGTAAGCCACTGCCATACTCATAACTATATATTACAGGAGATAATGGGTAACGGTGCATTAAGCTTTTCATGGCATTTGATAGAGTATCATCATTCACCATTTTATATAATTAAAAAAAAGTGAAAGATGAGCAATACTGAGGCCAAATGTAAATTATATTTAAAAATCTAACAGAAAATATCAATTGTCAAAATCATTGTTTCCTTGGGAAATTTTGGCACAAACACAAGGACTTACAAGTGACAGCTGCTGTGCTGGGTTCTTCAACAGACAATACACTGAAGCTGTCTGTGTGTACAGGTATGTCTGTGTGTATGTAAATGCAAAAGACAGCAGAGTAACTAATTGCATGCTAGATTTACTGCTGGGTCGACACAGTCAACACCATTTCCGTGTGGCCCAAGCTCAAGCAGACTGAAGTACAGTGTTCCCTGGTAATTTTAGCTCATTTCAAATGTAAACTACTTGACTGCAAAGGTTCCCGACCTTGCTGAACAAGGCATTGTTTAAAGCATACATTTAAACATGGAGAGTTAAGTAAGCCTGGCAAATGTTGTTTTCCAAAAGTAATTTTTTTTTAATGCATCAGCTGGTTTGGAAACTTGGACCTGTTTCTATAACGAAAGTGTAAGTTCATTTCTACACTACTAAATTCTACTTCTCATCAAAAATGGTTTTCCTTATAGCAAGAAAAAATTTTAGTAATTATTTATTGACTGCTTCAAGTTTTCATCTGCTCAGTGTAAAAAGGTTTCCTTATGAAAACCTTGAGGGGCTTAAACAAACATTCAACTTTTTCTTCTTGCATAAATTACACCTACATTTCACAACTCAGAAGCTGCGTGTGGTCTTTTTTATTGATCTTTGAACCCACTCCACCACAATTCTTAGACTGCTCAAAAAAAAAGGCCACAAGCAGCACAAGGTGCATTGTGACTTCCAAGGGAAATGGGGCAAAAATCTATTTTGCAGATAAAACCAGCCAATTTTTCACGCCATTACATTACATTGATTTGACTTTGCAACTTATATTCTGTAGTGAAGAAAGGTGCAAAACTCCTTTTCAGCCTGATGGTCATTGTATTGCTGCACTTAGAATTACGTGGATGTCATCTTCCATTTCAAAAACAGGCAGCCTTTGAATAGAGGCTCTATAATGGCAATTTATCCCCCTAAAATGAATGACTAAGCATTTCAATAATATTTAAGTCAAGATGCAACAAAACATCCTACTTCTACAAGAAGAGATATGTATTTTTTTAAAAAATGGCATGAACCTGCTTCACAAAGCGTCAATCTGACCAAGATATTTTCATTGGAGCAAATTATTCTCCATTAATATTACAGCCCAAGACCTTACATTAAAATCCAGAATACCTCTGGAACAGAGATTAAAATTCAAAGCAGAATTAAAAAATACAGCTAGAGTGAAAAAGCCAAGGCTCTCTGAGAATGTCTTTAAATAGAGCACAATGGTCTCGTGAGATGTTTTGACAAATTCATCTTTACGCAGATTCTAGCTGTCATAGAGGCCTCCTTCAACTAAATTGTTCTTGATTCTATTATATAATTCCCAGTGAGATATATTCCAAATTATCAGGTCTGAAGGGGAGTACCTTAGACATTGACCTTTCAAGAAAATTCCTTAGGGCAACTTTGTGGACTTCATTTATGTCATTCAGTGTTGGGCAGAGCACCTCCACTCCTTGTTCTCCAGCCCTCCTCCTCCTCCTCCTCCTCGCTCCAGCATCACCAAACGTTTGCTCAGGGCCAGGTGTATCTTCAGTCTCTCTGAATGTGAGATGTTCTCAAGGACAACTCTCAGGTTTGTTTCCTCAAGTTAAGAGGTAGTACAGGGGTTAAATAGCGGATTGGCACCAAAAGCCAAAACCCAGGTGAGTTAGATGGGCAGCAGCTGACAGAGACTTTTTAGAGGAGGCACAAACCAGCATCACTGCTGCTCTAGATGCACAAACCAGCCTGGGTTTTGTTTTTGCAAAGTGTTTCAGATAAATTTAAGATTTATATATGTCAAGCATCCTTCCGAGTTGTAATATTCTGGCCACAACTCCATTCTCTCAAGTGTAAAAACAGAAAACCAAATCCTCATAGCAAACAAAGCTGAATCCCACTCTAAGTGAAGATACACAGTGAAGAATGCACAAAGATTTCTGAATTTTTGCCCAACTACAGCAACCTTTTGAAAAACTTGCATACTATTTTTCTTCTCTCTTTGAAGGTCAGGTGTGTGTTTCTAAATCGAAGACTAAAATATGCTGAATCTAAATAATTACCTTTTATAATTAATACAGTTTAACCAAGTATTAATTCATCAATAAAAACAGAACAACTATAGATTCTCTAAGATTCATGATGAAGTAAGTTCTGCAATTACTGTGCTTATATAAAATATAATTTAAACAAGCTGGATAAAGGCAATTTACATGCAATAGATTCTGTTAAGCACATATGCCTCAGCTTCTAAACCAATTTCCAAAGATTAAAGATTTAATTTGAATATTCTGACAATGCAAATTAACTTGTCTAATTTGAAATTATGCCTAAAGGAATGTAGATTTCTGCATTTCACAAACTGATGAACTAGGGAAAAAATCAATAACAAAAACAATAACATAAAAAAAACCCCAAATACTGCTGTCCCACCCCACCTCCCCAACAGCTTCATCTTGTGCATGCAGACTTTTTTCCTCCAAGAATACATTGGCAATGATAATGTATTAAGCTTGTGCAAATTAAGCAGGAAGACCTTGCCAAAAACCTTGTTACTACTGAATCCTTCCTAAGAACAGGATGGAAATGCTACACTTATATTTGTATTTACTGGTTAGTAGGTAGAGGTGTATCAGGTGTATCACAGCT